TAGGTGCCATGGGCAGGTATCACCTCTCATAGCCTGGGACTTTACACCTGAACAGGCAAGTAACCCTGGCACACTGACACACCACCTGACAGAAGGGTGCCTTGCCTACCCCAGTGCAAACCAGCATCTTCTAGCACTGTGCTAGAAAACAAACACCACCAAACAGTAATTGTCCCAGTGGTGAAAAACAAACAGTGCACAGGGAGGTCAATGGGTCCATAACATCAATGAGCAATGGAGGAGGAGGAAGAGGAGGGGTTTGATCAAGAAGCTGGTGGAAACTCAGACCTGACCTCATCAGAACTTTGAGACATGCAGGAAGGTTACATCTGTCAGCCAGGTGAGTGGATTGCTGCCTGCCTGCTTCTATTGCAGAGCCAAGGAGTGATCAGAAACACCCACGGAGGCTTAAATAGTCCCATATGGCCAGTGCGAAAGTCTGGGTGGAGGTTAACAGTAGACTGTCATGGCCTGAATGAAATCACACCACCACTGAGTGCTGCTGTACCAGAGCTCCAGGATGAACTGGAGTCAGAGGCAGACAAGTGGTACACTACAGCTGACATTGCCAGTGTGGGTTTTTCAACACTGAAACACAGGCCACAGTTTGCTCTCACATGGGAGGGTATCCAGTACACCTGGAACTGAGTGTCCCAGGGGTGGAAGCACAGCTCTACCATTTGTCATGGCCTGACCCAAACTGCACTGGAAAAGCGTGATGCCCCATAGCACCTACAATACATTGATAATATCAGCATGTGGGGCGACAAGGCAGAAGTGCTTGAGAAAGAAAAAGAGCAGGTCAAGTTCTTCTGAAAGGTGGTTTCACCATAAAAAGAAGTAAGGTCAAGGGACGTGCAGGAGATTCATTTCTTGGGAATAAAATGGCAGGATGGATGTCATCATGTCCCTATGGATGTGATCAGCAAGACAGCAACTGTGCCTCCATCAGCTAACAAGAAGGAAGCAGTAGCTTTCCTAGGCCTTGTGGGATTTTGGAGAACGCGTACTGAAGGTTATAGTCAGCCTGAGAGTCCTCTCTACCAAGTAACCTGAAAGAGGAACTATTTAGACTGCGTCCTTGAGCAACAACAAGCCTTTGAGCATATCAAACAGGAAACGGTTTGTGCTTTGAGGCCTGTCCAGACAGGACCAGCTGTGCAAAATGGACTTCACACCAGCGTGGTGTCATCTGGAGCCTCTGGCAGAAAACACCAGGAGAAACCCAAGGTCAATCATAGAATCATAGAATAGTTAGGGTTGGAAAGGACCTTAAGATCATCAAGTTCCAACCCCCTGCCATGGGCAGGGACACCTCACACTAAACCATGTCACCCAAGGCTCTGTCCAACCTGGCCTTGAGCACCACCAGGGATGGAGCATTCACAACCTCATTAGGGGTTTGGAGCCATTGAGGGATATTGAGGATCAGAAGCCCACTACACCCCAGCTGAAAAAGAGATACTAGCAGCACATGACAGGGTTCAAGCCACTTTGGAAGTTATTGGTAGAGAAGCACACCTTCTCTTGCCAACACAATTGCTCATGGTACACTGGATGTTCAAAGGAAACATCTCTTCTCCACATCATACAATCAGTGCTACATGGAGTACGCTGATCGTACAATAAGCTCCACTGAGGAAACCCAGCCACCCAGGAATCCTGTGTCCTGGGTTCAGCAGTACCAGTCATTTTTCTCCTTCTCAGTAGCTGGTTCAGTGCTGTGGTTTTGACTTTCAGCCAGGGAACAGCGCTGATAACACCGATGGTTTTAGTTACTGCTCAGTGATGTGTACTCTGACCAAGGACTTGCTGAGCCTCAGGCTCTGCCAGGGAGGAGGGGAAGAGGGGAGGAAGCAGAGACAGGACACCTGACCCAAACTGACCAAAGGGGTATTCCATACCACAGCACGTCATGCCCAGTATATAAACTGGGGAGAGTTACCCGGAAGGGTTAGATTGCTGCTCGGGTCGGGCTGCGTATCGGTTGGTGGGTGTGAGCGGTTGTATTCTCTCCCCTCATTATTTCCTTTATCATTATTCTTACTGGTGGCAGCAGCAGTGGTTTGTGTTACACCTTAGTTACTGGACTGCTCTTATCTCAACCCATGGGAGTTACATTCTTTTGATTCTCCTCCCCATCCCTCTGGAGCAAGGGGAGGAAGTGGGGCAGTGAGCGAGCGGCTGTGTGGTTCTGGGTTGCCGGCTGGGCTCAAACCAGGATATCCTGGAAGAGACCATGAGATTTTGGAGCACTGCCTGAGGATGAGGCTCGTGCCCAGGAGGCACCACTGTATAATGAATTAGCAGAAGATGAAGGTGTTGTGCTTTGTTTGCTGATGGGTCCTGTAGCGTTGTAGAAAACCATCAGAAGTGGAAAACTGCTGTGTGGAGTTTCACAAGACAAGTCATTGAAGCCACTGAAGGAGAAGGTGGGTCAAGTCTGTAAACCATGCCACTGCCCAAACACCATCTTAGGTCTAAACACATCTTAGGCCTGGAAAGGCAAATCCTTGGCAACATGAAATTCTGTGGCCCCAGAAAGAACTGAATCAGACAGTGGGTGTCATTTCCAAAATAACCTCGTAGATTCCTGGGCTAAGAAACACAGCATTGAGTGGGTCTAGCACATCACCCACAAGCCTCTGGAAAGACTGAGAGATATAATAGAGTGTCAAAGCCTATGCTGATGTTGGGCAATGGGGCATGGAAGCACTGGGGTATAAACTTAGCTAAAGCCACGTGGCTGGTTAACACCAGAGGATCTGCCAACCATCCTGGTCTTGCCCAAACAAAACCCCTCCATACAGTGGGAGGAGATAAGGTCCCCACAGTGCACATATGGAAGTGCCTGGGGAAGGCAGTGTGGATTGCTCCTCCCTTGGGAAAAGGCAAATCCATTTGCGGGATTGTTTTCGCTTGAGGATCTGGGTGTACGTGCTGGGTGATGCAGAAGGATGGGGAGACCTGGTGTGTGCCTCAGGGAGATTTAAAGTTGGGGGGGGGGGTAATCTGTGATGTGAGGTGTATGTTGTAACAGGAAATACCTGAACCAACAAAGAGTGAGTTCCTCAAGGAACTCAACAAGTACAACGCTGACCCAATCAAGCCATTGCTGATGCCCAGCACTTAAATCTACTGCTTCTCCTGTCCTGAGCACCCATCTTGCCAGTTGGTGCCCGAGTCAGAGCTGGTTCTTACAAACATTTGGAGGAGTGGGGGAAGGCCACTGAATGGGAGAATAGTATCTATCAGTTGAAGGACAGAGGATAATAAAGAGAATGTATAAATCTGTATGTTGGGTATGAAGATGGTTGAAGTATGTAGTGTAAGTTCTAAGTGTTGGTAAGAAGGGATTTCAGTAATAAGAAATACAATGGGAAAGTTAGATGAGATTTATATATATGTATCAAATTATGTGAAACCTGAGCATGACAAAAATGGCATAGAATAAGCGATGGAGATGGCACTGGGTCTGGCTGAGATGGAGTTTAATTCCCCCCTAGCAGCCCTCATAGTGCTGTGCTTGGTGTTGGTAGCTAGAAAGGTGCTGATAACACACCAGAGGTTTGGCTACTGCTGAGCAGTGCTCCCACATGTCAGTAGGGTGAGTGACAGAGCCGCTCAGTGGGCACCCACTACAGATGCCCAGCCTGGCTGCACAGCCACCTGCAGCCAAACCTGCCCAGGTGACTCCCCAACACTTCCCTCCTGATACCTGCAGCTCAGCCAAGGGAACACAGGGCCCCCTTGAACACCATCAGGCTCAGCTGGGGCCATAGCCCTCTGTTATCCTTGGCTGCCCTCCCTAAGCTCTGCAGGCAGCATCTCCTGAGGCTTTGGTGTTCACCAGCCCTGCCTGGGGGGCACCAGGGGTTCAGGAGATGGCACGGTGCTGCTGCAGAGCATTGTGCCCATCTTGCCTTAACAGGCTCTGTCCTGGTGGCTCTATCTTGCTCAGGGGGTGCCTTGCCCCTCCTGTCCTTGGTATCCTTACACACTGAATTAGATCTCTAATAAATAAGTAATGATGAATAATGGGATTAAAAGGCTGTCCGGCTACAGGAGCTGGCAGGGAAGTGTGCCATGCCCAGAGGCTCGCTCCAGCATGGCAGGGCTGGCACAGGGACCTGGACTTGTTTGGAGGGAGCCCCAGTCAGTGCTGTGAGCTGGGTCTGCTGCCTACACAGGCAGAGCCCTATGCTTGTGCATTGATGCTGCTGTGTCCATTGGTGCCCAAAGGAGCACCCCATGCACCCCAGCTTCCCCTGCTCACAGGCTGCCTCCCTCCTCAGCCCGCAATGCTTCTCTTGCTCCCCATCTCCTCCAACAGATCACCACGGCTGGCATTACTATAATCCCTGCTTTCATTTAAATCCTCCTTCCATGTCCTGCTTTTCCAGGGGGAACGATGGAGTCAGCCCACCCGCTCGGCCCTGGGGCTGGTGCCAGGTTCAGAGAGCCAGAACACCCTGGGCTTCTTGAGGGGTCCCCACTCTTGCTCCCATGGGAAGGTCCCCGGGACATCACACAGCCCCAGCAAGAGCCATCCCCATTCCTCACGCAGGGGTGTGAAGAGCTGAGGATGCCTGCAGGGGAAGCCGGCTTCCGCTCCCCCAAGCCCCCTGCACTGGGGGTCTGGTCTCCCCTTCCCTTTCCCCTGCCGCAGGCTGCTGTGACGAACCCACACCTCACCACTATTCTCCTTTTCAACCATGTAAAACACCCGTGTTTTCTGCTCTCCCGCAGAAACCTCCTTCTTTAACACATCCTCCCTCCTGTGCGCGGGTGGTGGCAATGGCGGGCAGGGGTCGCACTGCTTCAGGCAGCTATCGGCCATTTACCTCCCTCAGCGCTAACGGGGGCTACGGGGGAAGACATTTAGGGTATTTATTAACTTGTTTCTATACGCTCCGCCCGGGCGAGGAGCGATCGGCAGGGCCACAGACACCGAGGGGACCGGCACGCAGCTACCACAGCACCGACGGGAGCGCGGTGAGGGTAGGGGAGGTGTGGCCCGGCCCCGCCCCGCCGCAGGACGCGTGCGCTGCGCAGGCGCGGTGCGAGCCGGCACCGGCGCCCGGCGGGTCGCGGAGGGAGGTAGGTGCGGGCGGGCCCGGCACACATGCACCCTCATGGGGCGGGCGGGCTTGGTTCTATCCCCCCCGGTGCCCTCTCCGGGCTTATGGGGGTTCCCTTTCCTTGCGCTCCCCCCAGCCGGTTCGGGCTGGGCCCGCCGAAGGGTCTCTCCTCCTGCCCAGCTGGGAGGCAGTGGTGGGGCGCGGGGCTCAGCGGGCAGGTCCCATGCACACGCACCCCGCTGCGGTTGTCTGCAGGCGTCCAGCGGTAGGGGGCTCGGTCCCGCTGCGAGTCGAGGTTAGTCTGCAATAGCTTGTAAAGGGCTCTCGGTGAATGCAGGCTGCGGACAGCGTTGCTAACGCGGTGTCATGGGTATCATGCCTGTCGGTACTCTGCTGGCCTGCCAGGCTCTGGAGTAGCCCGGTGTAACCCATTAGTCGTTGTAAACCATCTGCTGGTCGCTTGCTAACGAAGCATCTCTAGGCAGTAACTCGTCAGGGCTGATGGCACCTGTAAGGAAGGGCTTTGGTGACATGAGGCAGGACCAGCTTAACCCCTCTCCAGCAAGGGCTTGGGAAGGGAAGAGCGGGTGTTTTGAACAGCTCACCTGCTCGGAGCAGTTTCACAAAGCCATCAGCCCCAGCTGAGTTCCTGCTTGTCTCTTATGGTGTTAGAACTATGGGGTTGCACGTGTGCCTCTCAGGTGTCCCGTGGCCCATTAAGTTAGTTCAGCAGTGCTTGCTTTGGGGCGTTTGCGTGCAGGGGAAGTGAAACTGGAGCACTTTCTGCAGAAGCAAACTGGAAGCAGAAGTTCCCGGTTTTAGCTTTGTGGTAAGCGCTGGTTGAATGAACTGAGAAGAGCAGAAACAAAGGTGAGCAGCCCCGGCTGTGCTTGATGCAGAAGGTGGGGTTTGGCCTGGTGGGCATAGGTGGGCTGGTTGACCTGAATGGTGTCAGTGTGCCTGTCACAGTCGGTTGGAGGTTGGTCTGGTGGCATCACTGAGCAGCACTGTGTGTCACACCCTTCGCAGCAATGCTGGTAGCAGGTGCAAGCAAGCCAGATCCTGTCTGTTTTCACACCAGCCTCTTCCCGGTGCCTCAATCTTCTGATTATCAGATTCAGGTATGTGTTCAATCCTCAGCTCAGATCCCAGGGTATGTGGGTAAGCAGGTCAAAGCTATTAACATCCCTGGACTGAGGGGAAACACGGGTTACACAGCCTGTGCACTCCTGCCAGAGCTCCTTCCATTTATCCTTTTCTCATTTTGGATATAGCATCCATAATGCATTGACTCTGCCCTGGTAAAAAATGGGCTGTGTTCCAGTTTACTTAGGGCAACAGAAACTCTGTGCTCAGGGCCTTGTGCTTGCCTGTTTTACTCCAGCTGTCAGTACTGCACTACCAGCTTCTTAGAGCTCTGCTGTTGTTCTTCCAGCCTGGGTCAACGTTACAGATTGAAAGGCAGTGCACCAAGCACAGCTCTGGCAACCTTGCTGGCTGGTATTTGTGTTTTAGTGACTGTTAATGCTGGAGAAAGGTGTTCCCTGGACAGCCCCAGAGACAGAAGTGCTGTATTTCTAGAGCAGGTACAGTACAGACAGCAGCCAAACAAGCATCAGGCCTTTACCTTCACTTGCAGAATGTCCCTGGGATGGGAAGGACAGGTTGGCAATTGGCCTTTCTCTTGCAACTGCTTATTAGGGGATCTGTGGTGTCAGTGTGAACTGGCATCTGTGCCCTGACAAACCGGCCTGCAGAAAAGCATTGTCAGGAAGAGCAGCACAGGAGCTGGGTCTCTGTGCCTCGGAAACCCCTTGTGAGCTGTAGGGATCATGTGCAGAAAACGAGAACCGCTCCACTTGTGAGTCAGCGTTCTTGGGGTGATTAAGACCTGGGTTGCCTGATGACTTGTATTGATGTTAGGCCTGGGCCTATTTTACATCCTTCCAGTAGAGCAAGTCAGATAGGAGAAATTACTCAGCTAGTGACTGTACAACGGCAAGAAAGGCCTGGTGACGGTGATTCCTGGTGGATTTGCTGTTTCTGGGAGAACACAGCCAGAAGAAATGCTTAATAGTGATGGTATGTTGGGAAAAACTAGACAAGCTTTCAGACACAGAGTTTTCACCAAAAGTGGTATAATTGTTACTAAACTCCCAACAGTTGCTCTTACCTTGCACTTACTGCAGTGACCTGCTACTTCCATTTTGGACCTGATGGAGGACTCGTGTCCCTGAAAGCTTGTCCAGTTCCCAGCTCTAATCTTTCTAACAAGGGAGATTGCCTCCTGTATACAAAACTCATTCAGAAATGGGGATGGAAATGCCATATTTTGCTCCTCTGTGTGTAAATTTCTGCGGAATCTGTGACTCAAACAGCCATTTTGTACTATTCCTGAAACCTGCAGATTGCCTTGGTCCTGCGCCCCTCCGTCCCGCTGCAATGAGTGGCAAGTCCTTGCTCTTAAAGGTCATTCTCCTTGGGGATGGTGGAGTTGGAAAGAGTTCCCTCATGAACCGGTACGTCACCAACAAGTTTGACTCGCAAGCCTTCCACACCATTGGGGTGGAGTTCCTAAACCGGGACCTGGAGGTGGATGGACGTTTTGTGACCCTCCAGATTTGGGACACCGCGGGACAGGAGAGGTTCAAGAGCCTGCGAACCCCCTTTTACAGGGGAGCAGACTGCTGCCTGCTGACCTTCAGTGTGGATGACCGGCAGAGCTTTGAGAACCTCAGTAACTGGCAGAAGGAGTTTATCTATTATGCTGACGTGAAGGACCCTGAACACTTTCCATTCGTAGTCCTGGGCAACAAGATAGACAAAGTTGAGAGACAAGTGAGCACAGAGGAGGCCCAGGCCTGGTGCATGGAGAACGGTAACTATCCGTACCTGGAGACTAGTGCCAAGGATGACACCAATGTGGCAGTGGCCTTTGAGGAGGCTGTGCGACAAGTGCTGGCGGTGGAGGAGCAGCTGGAGCACTGCATGCTGGGCCACACCATTGACCTGCACTCCAGCTCCAAATCGGGGTCTTCCTGTTGTTAGGAGAGGCTGCTGCTTTGGGAACATCGCTTGAGCCAGCGGCTGGATTGGAACAAGCACGGGCACCTCTGGGGCACTCTGAGGAGCATGGCCACAAGGACAATAGGTGGTTTGCTCCCTCGGGAGTTGCAGCCTCACCATCCGAGTTCTGGCTGGAGTTTTTGGGCACAGAGCATGTATCTGCAGGAGGGAGCTGTTAAAGAGCATGTGAATGGTAGTCCTGCTTCCATCTCTGCCTGTTGTAGCAGGTTTAAAGGACTGGGTTAAAGTCCTTTAAATTCACTAAAGACAACAGTGATCTGATCTGTACCAAGGACTGCCTGCAGAACGCTGCTGAGAGCGCCCTAGACAGTCTGTGAGTATTTTAGTCCTGAATTCAAACAAATACTAGACCCACTAAACACATGACCTTACTGCCAAAGGAATGTCTGCTCAGCATACTGAATGAAACCTGCTGTAGAGACTGTAGCCCATGTAACTGTGAGAATGCCAAATACCAGAGTGGCTGAGATGAGTGTATCTGTTGTCTGGGATAAGTGCGTTTTGTCCCAAGACTGACTTGTCCTGGGAGTTGTTACAGCTCTGATGTGAAACAACACATGAAGAAGGGATGGACCTGTGTTTGAATGTGGCAGCATCGCTTCTTCGTAGCTGCCTATTCCTGATCTGTTTTTTCCACACCTCTAACTCTGTCTTGTGTGAGTGTTCTCTTGTGGAGAGACTGCTTCTTGTTTAATATATGTTTCCTTGTCTCTTGTGGAGGCCTAACACTGGATATTGCTTTTTGTACCTTGAAGCCCTGGATGAAAAATACTGATGTGGACATCGCTGGGTCATGTCAGAGGGTTTAGAGTTACTCAAGAGTTCAGGAGATCTGGAGCGTGAAACTTCAGCTGTTTTCTGTCACAAGTGATCACTGTGCCCAGATGTTATGCTCTAGCACAGTGGATGGAGGTGGGATATCTCTGGGGTGTGCAGGTAGCTGAGGGAGTCATGCATGCTCAGCTGCTAAACCCGCTCTGTGTCCAGGGCTGGGACCACTGTACTTTGTTAGCTGGTGGGTCAGCATCTTCAGTTGCTTTAGCACGGATGCTCCCATCTGGGTGCTGCAACTTAGAACTGTTCACTTTGTTACCTGTTGTCAGGTGCAGTGCTACTGAGCACAGTTAACGCATAGCCTTGTCCTGGCCCTTACTCCTTACACAGGGAATCTGTATGTTTTATCTGTAATTCATATAACAGACCTTATTTGTAGAGGATGTCCACTTGGTTAACTGGCCTTTGTTAATGGCCACAGCATCAGTTCCACCTCTGTTCAAGGTGTCTGGAAAGTGGTATGGGGGGGGCAAGGAACCTTCTAGAAAAGGACATCAGGCTTCACTGATCCTGATTCCTGCCCCCTGCTAGGTGTTAGTCCCAAGCTATCTGTGTAGCAAAGAGATGAATGCTTGCTGACTGCTGTCTTTACCATTAAAACCTCATGTCTTGCAACTTCCCGTGCAAGCGTTTGTCCAAAACTATGACTTTGCCCACAAGCTCATAGGAGCCTGCCACAGGGAGAGCTTCCCTGAGTCCGTATCCTCTAGCTGCTGAGTGCAGTTCCCACTGTGATGAGCTACTGAATGGTAAATTCTGTAGCTCTAGTTGAGCAGCATCACTGATGCTGTGCTTTAGAGATGGGCACTGCCCTCGTGCTGCCTGGTGGCAGCTAATCCCCTTCACTGAGCATGCAGGCACCCTCCTCAGGGGGAACTCGGGGAGATCCTGCCTTTCTCTGCAGGGTAGCCATCTGTGGAAGGGACTGAATCTTTAATGCAAAGTGCTTTGGAGGGATCTGATTTCTTTATAGGCTGAACACTCATATTCACAGGGATAGATAGGGAGTGCTTGCAGTCTCTGGGAAACAGGTCCCTGGTGGTATAAGAGAAGGCTCTGCCTCTGTAGGTGCAACAGATTTTTACAGGATATTAAGGTTACTGTTCCTATGTACTTACCAATGTGTGACCTCCTCAGGCCTCTAGATTCTTCTTCAGTTTAACACTGCCTAACATCTTCTTCAAGATCTCCCACTCTGTAACTTGTGGTTCTGATTTACATCTCAACAGACACGTTCCCCCAGAGCTGGTTGTGCAGGGTCCAGGGTTGGGACAGGCTCAGGCCCTGCCAGAGGGGCCACTGAGGGAGCTCCCTGCAGGTTAAACTGCCAGTTCCCATGGGATCTGTGTGAGGCCTCCTGTGGAAGAGAGCAGAGATTGAACCTGAGTCAAGGCAATCCCAAGCACAGCTACAGGCTGGGCAGAGAAGCGATTCAAAGCAGCCCTGAGGAAAAGGACTTGGGGGTGCTGGTCGATGAGAAAATGAACATGAGCTGGCTTCAGTGTGCACTTGCAGCCCAGAAAGCAACCGTATCCTGGACTGCATCAAAAGGAGCGTGAGCAGCAGGTCCAAGGAGGTGATCCTGCCCCTCTGCTCTGCTCTTGTGAGACCTCACCTGGAGCATTGTGTGCAGTTCTGGTGTCCTCAACATAAAAAGGACATGGAACTGTTGGGACAAGTCCAGAGGAGGCCATGAGGATGAGCAGGGGCTGGAGCACCTCCTGTATGGAGACAGGCTGGGAACACTGGGGCTGTTCAGCCTGGAGAAGAGAAGGCTGCGTGGAGACCTCATAGCAGCCTTCCAGTATCTGAAGGGGGCCTATAGGGATGCTGGGGAGGGACTCTTCATTAGGGACTGTAGTGACAGGACAAGGGGTAACGGGCTCAAATTGAAACAGGGGAAGTTTGGATTGGATATAAGAAAGAAGTTCTTTCCTGTTAGGGTAGTGAGGCACTGGAATGGGTTGCCCAAAGAAGTGGTAAATGCTCCATCCCTGGCAGTGTTCAAGGCCAGGTGACACAGAGCCTTGGGCAACATGGTTGTGAGACGTCCCTGCCTATGGCAGGGGGTTGGAACTGGATGATCTTAAGGTCCTTTCCAACCCAATCCATTCTATGATTTGGTGATTCTGTGATGGAACAAGCTGCAGTGCAGGAGGCAAGGGTGCAGCATGCTGTACCTTGGGTGCATGTTGATGTTGATAGCTGAAGCTCAAGATCCTCGTCGTACACAGGCTGTGCAGGCTGTATGTACAGAGGGTGTTACACAGCGTCTTCTATTCCTAACACACATTGGATCATTGACTTTAAAAACCAAACCAACCACAAGTATTTTATTAGGCTTATGTGTTTTTACAATTCATTTAAAAAAGTATATTTAAACAGTTTGATTTATGTCAATGATGCTCACAAAGAAGCCAGGATTTTGTTGCAGAATTCCATGCCAACAGCCGTCCCCTCCCTGTGTGCACCCCTGCTGCTGCGGTTGTTGCTGTTGCTACAGAACTGGAATTGTAAAACCAAGATTCTACCTTTATTTAAGCAAATAAAACCTGGATGTATTCAAGTGAAGTCAGGAAGTGTCTGTCTTCATTTATCAGAGTTCGTGTTGGCCTCTGTTCTCTTGAGGTATGTGGAACTAGGCTGGTTACAGCACCTGGCAGAGAAGTCACAAAGGGATCAGAGGGGGTGGTTATTCCTGAGTGTTCCTACCTGAAGGAATAGAGCTTTACCAGTATAACCAACCCACTGACCAGTTTTGTCTTTCTAAGAGCGTATCAGAAACACTTTCATAACAGAAACACTCCATATTGCTTCCTCCTGCCACTACACTTCCATTTTCAGCCTGGGCTCTCAGGAGCAAGCTGGGTACTTCCCTTTGATTCCTTCCTGCAATCTTGGAACCAGTCCCTCGGGCTGCAGGGGGCTGTAACCAGGCATGGTTTCCTCGGGATGCTGAGATGGAAAAGAGCAGCATATGGGACTGTTCTCGTCCGCTATCCTGCCAGGATGGGTAATTATTTTGGGAAGCCTTCTCTATGTTTGTGGAGTCTGTGCCTGCTGTTTCTCTTGGCAGAACCTTCTAGTTTCTTACTCGCCAATGCCTGCTTGCTTAGCCATGCTTCCAGGGGCAGTGTGGGGCTTCGAGTCCTTGGAAATCCTGCTTTGTAAATGTAGGCTGGAGCATCTGGGAGCCTCCAGCATCTTCCTTCAGCTGCTTCAATACACAGTAACCATGACCTGGTGGGAGAAGTTTCCAGCCACATGGGGTTGAGGGAAGCTGTGTCACATCAGTGAGGTCTGTCTAACACCATCAGAACCACCAGCTCCCCTGATGTGATGTGTTAGAGCGAGGCAGAGGCAGGAGCAATAGTGATGCTGTTCCCTCATCCCCTACTTTGCCACTGCAAGCAATAGCGGAGTGCTGAGAGGGTTTTGTGATGAGCTGGAAGAGGATGGATCCCTGGAAGGCAAAGGAATGTCTCCAAAGGAAAGCAGTGAGCTGTTTCTGCATGGAACAAATGCTGTAGCATATTCCTGTGTGCTTGCAAGGGAAGAGAAGAGGTGGGGAGTCTCCTGGTCCCATCCATCTCTTTCTCCCACAGCTTTCTTGATTTTGCTGCTCTGGGCCGTCTGTAAGGCTATGCAGGTGCCTGGGAACTGAAATCTTCCCTGGAACCACAAGCTGAGGAGCCCCAAATGGCTGTAGATGCACATACTTGCTCTCTGGGTATCCGAGGCTCCTCACACACCATCCGAGTGCAGCTTCTCCTGAGCTCCGGAGGCTGGCTCCTCACAGCAGTACAGCTGTAAGGAAGTTTATGGGAACATGATCTCTGGGGAGTGCATGTTCTTACATGTGTTTGAGGATGAGCGCGAACATAGCCTAAAAATACCCTTTCAGGAGGCTCTGAACCCTGCTCCAGGCTTCGGTTCTGAACAGGGAGCTCCTTGCAGCTCTGGTGCCTGGGTCACTGGTGGGCTCTGCTCTGGAGTGGGAGCATTCCCAGGTCTGCGAGGTGGGAGGTGATGGCAGCTGTGACAGCAATTGCCCAGAGGCCTCAGGTGAGTCAGAGTCCCCTGGATGGAGACAGGGAGCTGGGACAATCCCTGATGTCAGTGACACTGTGGGTGACTGCTGGGGTGGTTGCTAAAGCAAGTGGAGACGGACAGAGATACCCCTTGCCCCTGGTGCTTGCCTGGCTGGTGGTGCTGCGCCTTCCTGGTGGCTTCAAGGGGTCCTTTAGGTGCTGATGCATGTGGCCATGTCTTCATGAGCAGCTGAGTACATCATCTCCCTGTGCTATTGTCAGCCTTAGTTCTTTCCATGGGGACTTCTCACCTGCAATTCCTTCTATGTCCCTGGGTACGTCTTCAGCAAAGCCAAGCTTTGCAGAAATGGAGAGGAACCAGCTGGCAGTGAGACCTTCCCCCAGGGTGATGTGCAGCAGCACCGTGCCATGGCCCCGCAGGCAGCTCCAGCCCTTGCCAGGGCATCCCTTGCACTGAATCCAGGACAGGGCTGAGGGAGCTGCAGGCGAGGAGCAGCATGAGTGTGCCTCTGCTGTACCCTCTTTAGGGCGAGGCAGAGGATGCTCCCTGTGTGCCTTCCGAGGGGGGTTCGATGTCGCTGGGGGCTGCACACGGGTTTGGATGGCAGCATTTGGATGTTTAGGGTACGTTTTTCACTGCTGTTCCCTCGCTGGGCTGTGCAGGGCTGAGCGCGGGGGAAGTGAAGGCACTCGAGGGAGACTGCAGCCGGCAGCCACGGGGAGGAGACGGAGGATCAGGGATGCGGGAGGAGCATGGATGGAGCTGGCGGGGCCTCGCTGAGGACCCGTGTCCATCCCTACCAGAACACTCCTCGCCTTTCCCCGTTTATCGCAGGTTTCTGCCTTCACTGCCCCAAGGGCTCACTTGCTATCAGCGGTACGGGGCCAGAGCGGCAGGGCAGGGGTGAAGGGATGGGGGCAAGGCGGCCCGTGGGACCTGCTCCAGGTTTCCTCTCTCTGGTCCAGCCTTTGTGGGAGTGACCTGCAGCCACATTTCAGCCTCTAGACAGGGGACAGCGTTTGACTGCACTGGCTGCTCTCCTCGGAGCTCTGGTGATGTGGTTTACAGGGATGAGGTTTGGCACAAGGCAGGGTTTATGCCCTGTCCTTTCTCACCCAGTTCCTAGAGGGCACTGGGCACCCAGGGCAGGAGCTGTGAGGGCAGGTCCCATGTCCCCTTGTGGGGTGGCAGCAGGACATGGCCAAGAGCACACCAGCAAGAGCCTACATGTGTCCTTTGCCCCTGGGACCTGCCCAGTGTCCTGGTGCCTTCACACACTGCCTCTTGCTGCTGTGCCCAGCCCTCACCCCGGCCGGGGGGCACCAGTCTCTGCCAGGGGAAAGAGATGGTGTTTTGTTCCCCGGCTCGCTCCTGCCCAGGGGCAGATTGTGCACACACAGGGCCCTTTCAGCATGGGGAGAGGAGAGTGATGGCATCTGGGAACGCAGGGAATAAAGGGCCCCATTGATGCTGCCTGCAGCCCCATGGGTTTCTGTGAGCTGAGGCAAGGCTGGGGAACAGCCACAGTTGTGCACTGAGCCAGGGCAGCAGCAATGCATGAG